TTCTCGTTAATCAGTTTATATTTATGAATGTATTTATACATACTTTTAAAAGTGTTCATATGACTAGAAGAAGGATAAGAAACACCATTTTCGTCTTGGAAATCAATTTCTTGACTTTCAAGACGAAAATGGCGCTCGTGGATCGTTTACTCTCTCTACGATCCACTCATCCGTTCGATGGTAAATTGGTACTAGCATATGCCAAAGACTCAAATCCACTCCATCACCACTGTTTGTAAGCAGCTCTGGAAAGAGGAAGCCATCGACATCCCTGACAACGAATTTTCTGTTGGTACCTGCGGTGGCACTTTGGTTACTTTTAAATACCTCTGTTTCTCACGTAAAAAGCTAATAAGTGGGGATGAGGGGGGAGGGGAGTACAGGGTTGCTTTGACTTCAGAATATTGGATACTTCTATGTCTAAGACAGTCTACTGCTATCAGATTAGTTAGTTTTCTGGCAACTTTCAACACTAAGATAGCACACGCAATTTTGACGTTGCCTCATAATTTTTATTAGATTTGGTTAATTTTATCTCTTACTGCTAAATTCAACAAAAATTAGTCCTTTAGCGCTTTATGGGAAATTGATACTTTTCGATTAATTTTGGTACCTTTTTTTTGCTAAACTTTACATCCCTCAACTCATTTTGTATCTTTTTTTTCCAAGGTACTGATTTCGAAATCTCTAGGATGTCCTTCTCTTTCCATCGCCTTTAGCCACTGCTCAGAAATTAGCCTGTAAAATTAGTAATTTAGTAATAAGCAACAGAAAAAACTCGTTAAACGGAAAAAAAGGTGGAAACCTCTGGACAAGAAGATATCCTGACATCATTTTTCAGAATTGCGCTTCATCACCTACATCGGTGGACCATAACGATTTGACGCAGACGGAGGAACTGGACCGTATTGCGGACGAGGAGGTGCAGGGAATGTTACGTCGAAGTGAGCAGATTCGCCGGCGATTGCTCGAAGAACGAAATATGCAGTACGTTTCTGGGCAAACTTATTTTTTTTTGGGTTTCGTCAGTTCCCGTGCATTTTAACTTCCCCATCAGTATTCAACAAACCACCTGTCACACATACTTTTGCTAGAGTAATAATCCTAGATTTAAAAGCGTTACTAAAATGAAACAACGTTGAGTTACGCTAGGCTTTCTTCCCCCGGGCTGTTTCCTACACTTCCCTGTGATCTTATTACTACTCCATACACAAATTAGATTTCCCGAGGATCAATCCAAGCGATAATTTCCTGTGTGAGGGGCAAGTGCGGACCGCGAAAGTGTTTCTTATATTAAGTAGGTTTCGTAAATTTCGGGCAAGAATACGCAAGGACTTCTGTATTATATATATATATATATATATACCAAACTTTCTGTGTTAATAATTATAATGTCTAACCATACGTTCACAACACTGTTATTTTTCAACAGGGCATCAAAAGAAATTGATGAAAGCATAGCGATGTTGCTAGAATACGCCGATGACTTGGATATGCTGCCGAATCGAGAATCACATTATCCAATAAGCAATGGAGCGCCTTTGAAGGTTTTTGTGACTTATTAATGTTATTATAACATTTATCGTTTTTAGCTTTATTTTTCCGCTAAGGATACCCTTTGAATTTGCGGGTTTTCGAATGTGTTCTGCTTTTTTACGTACCTTCGTGTTTCACTATACTGATTGGCGTTATTCGAGCCTTGAATTGAAGAGGAGTTAAAAAAAATCCTGGGAAAGCTCGAAAATAAGTGAATTTTTTTTCCATGAAAAAAAAAACCGAAATTGCCCCCCAACTTATCGGCTTCACAGCATTTTGTCGATATCCGGAAAACATCTTCTTCATTAATGAATGACATTGTTCCTTGTACTTACCATGAATTAGTGTTTAAAATGAATAAATTTGCTAAACAAATAACAAAAATTTCAATTTTTTGTAGCCGATAAAGAGTGTTCGTAATGACGGGCCAAAAACGGCTTCGCATGGTTCTGTCAGTTGTGGCGCTTCCAGAAACAAATCGCAGCCAGTAAAAAATCAGAACGGTAATTTTTTCTTGAAAATTTCTATGTTGGCGTCTTGTTCAGGCAGTAAGGATCACAACTGCTGGAACAGATCCACTTGCACGCAATGAATCATGCTATGAACTGCAGCTGAATCATATATCAAAGTGTTATGTTCATTTTTTCATTTTATAAAAAAATTGGCCAACGCACGGGCTGCCCGTGCGAAGATGCGTTTTTTGCAGAGTTCCCTGC